CATCCTGGGCTGCATGTGGCCTGTGGCCCACGAGTTGGACACCCCTGCCATAAACTGTTCTGAGAGAATTAGTTAATCCAATGTTATAGACATGCTTTCAATAACTAAAGTGTTTCCTCTGGGCACCAATGTGCCTGTTCAGATCCCTCTTGGTACTTATCAGGCTCCCCCCACCATTTGTTGACTTGTTTAAATGGGTGTTAGGTGCAGGAGACAACAGGATGGTGTTCAGTATGGATAAATGCAAAGTCTTGCATTTGGGGCATAGGAATACATAAGTACAGGTTAGGGGGCAAATGGCTGGAGAGCAGCACTTGTGAAAGGGACCTTGGGGTGCTGGTTGACTGCAGGCTAAACATGAGTCAGCAGTGTGATGTGGAGGTTAAGAGGGCAGATGCCACCCTTGGTTGCTTAGCCCAAAGCGTGGCTTCTAGATTGAGAGGGGTATTACTACCACTCTATATGACTCTGGTACACCTGCAACTGGAAGATTGTGTTTAGTTCTGGGCCCCCCATTACAGGAAGGATATAGCCAGGTTAGAGTCAGTGCAACGTAGGGCCACAAGGATGGTGGCCGGATTGCAGGGAGAGCCATATGAGGCGAGACTGAGGGAGTTGGGTCTTTTCAGCCTGGAGGAGACTCCAAGGGAATCTGTTGGCAACATATAGGTACATGAGGGATGTGTCACACGGAGGTGGGTAAAGATGTGTTCTCCCCTGGAAAGGATGGCAGGACACGCTCCAACAGAACCAAGCTCAAGGAACCAAGTTTCAATTTGGATGCCAGGAAGTACTACCTGACACTTAAGATCCCAAGGGTATGGAATGGGCTTCAACGGGAGGTGGTTGAGGTCTCATAGGTGAGGATGTTCAAGGATAGGCTGGACATGCTCATGGTAGGCATGTAGTGAGTGGAGCCAGCTAGAGCTGGGGGTCAGACTAGATGGCCCGAGAGACCCCCCCACCTTCTGACTCAGTCTGTTTCTATGTTTCTTTGCAGAGTAATGCTATCTAGCACCATCCTTATCTGGGTTCAAAAGAGTGGTTTCATGTTTTGTTCTTCAGAATCCATCCCTGCCTTGTACTTAGATTCTTGGACAATACTTCTTTTTTTGGTAACTTGTCTTCCAGAAAATGTGTGTGCGTGTATGTGATGCTTGTCATGGTAGCCAGTTTATGAATTGGTAAACCCCTTTTGACATTCATTTTGGGAGACCAACCAACTCAAAATTCCAAAATATTCTTACTGACACAAAAGCCAGTGTGGTGTAGTGGTTAAGAGCATGGGACTGGGACTCAGACGATCTGGATTCTAGTCCCCGCTCAGTCATGGAGCCAACTGGGTGACTTTGGGCCAGTCACAGACTCTCAGCCCAACCTACCTCGCAGGATTGTTGTTGTGGAGATAAGATGGAGGAGATGTAAGCTGCCTTGAGCCCTTTGTAGGAAAAAGGCAGGATATAAATCGAAAAATAAAATAAAATAAATTTGGAGTCTCTAATATAATTGGCAGCATGCTAGTATTATATACTATTATTATATACCACATGCTATAATACATGTATAATACATGTATAATATAATACATGCATGCTAGTATTATATACCACATGTGCAAGATGATGTATAGCTTTTTCAAGCTCATCCAAAAGAGAAGCACTTTAATAACTTTGGAATTTTGTTGTACACATGAATCAGTGAGCACTGTGCTTGTTCCTTTTGCTCTTGTCCTGTTGAAGATATAATTTCTGTTAAGTGGGTACAAAACATCATTCTAATGTACAAAAAAATAAGATTTAATTTAGGATATGAACAAGATGATACAAAAATAATTTTTACACATTGAATGAATTACTTAAGTAGATAGCCGTATATTCATTTGTAAATTAAGAGAAAAGTTAAAAAAAAAAATCCGGGATGCATATAATTTGTGGAAGTTTGCAGGGGGAGAAACTAGAGGTGGTGGTATGGGAAAAGGCAAAGAAATTAGTTTGCTAAAGCTCCTGATAGTTCATAGTAAGTTCAGGGTGGAAAACCTGTGAGCCTCCATCTAGGTGGTGTTGGGCTGTAACTCCCATCCTATGTTGGTTAGGGCAGATGGGAGGCAGCCTCATAACATTTGGAGGGCTGCAGGTTGCTTGAAGGAAAAAAGTTAAGGTAACAGGTGTGTGTTAACATGTTAAAACATTCTGTTAACTGTACAGTGGTACCTTGGCTCACAAACGCCTCAGTTCATGACCAAATCAGGTTGCGAACAAAAATTTCATTAAAAAATTGACTCAGGTTGTGAACTCTGCATCCGGTGACAACTGCAATTGCGGCCATCTCCCCACCCCCCTGAGTGGGGAGATGGCTACGATTGTGCTGGGGGTGGGGGGGGAGATGTCTGAGATTGCAAGCGTCTTTCCTGCATGAGTACAACCACAATCTCGGCCATCTCCCCCCCCTCACCCCCAGCACAATCGCGCCTGTCTCTCCCCCTCAGTGTGCCTGCGTTTGCGCCCATCTCTGCCCCCCAGCGTGCTCACGTTCATGCCCATCTTTCCCCACTAGTGAGCCGGGATGACGGGCATATGCAGGAATGATGGGCATGATTGCGGTTGTGCTGGGGGGAACAGGGAGATGACTGCACTCGTGCTCGGGGGGGGGGGGGGGGGAGATGGCTGCTATCTTTGTTGTTGTCACTTTGCTTCACATTTTTCTGATAAAAAAATAGTTACAGAACGGATTAACCTTATTTACATTGAACCTTATGGGGAAATGTAACTTGGCTCACGACCAATTTGGGTCATGACCAGAGTCCTGGAACAGATTAAGTTCATGAGCCAAGGTACCACTGTACTATAAAAAAGAAAGGGAGTAAGGAGACCTTTTCAATTTCTTGCCCTGTATAACCCAAGGATATGGCAGTAAAATGCTATGGCTCAGGGCTGATAGCCTCTGAACTCTCTTATAAGAACACTGGGAAGTTTAACAATAGCATTGCTTGGGCAGATGGACTCCTCATGGTTGTTTACTCATAGTGAATTGTCATAAAGTCTGTATTGGTACACTTTCTGCAGAGTGACTTATCACAAACAAGTCATCCTGAGAACCCATGTCTTGTTGTTGGGTTGTACATGGTGGCTTGTTGTGCTATCCAAACCCGACAAGGTGATTTTATCATGTGTTGCTGGGAACAACTAGAGAGCCAACCAAGAGCAGTTGAAACCCCTGCCATTCCTTGCAGTCTCACTGATGCCACTATCCTTCCTCATTCCGTCTCAGTACCCCTAACTTGTACTAAAAATGGAGAACAAAGGATACCAGAGAGTGTCCTGAACACATCACAAGCTGCTTTCCCCTGCCAAATCTTACATACATGTATACATTAGAAAGTCTGTGACTATGCAATCGGAGTGATTTCCCTCTCAGGTTTATTGTATATGTTTACTAATTTGCTCAGTCCCTGCTCTGCCTTCACTGTTCTGACAACTCACAATCAAATTCAGTAGAGGGAACTAACAAGCATGCAGTGTGCTGGTGGGGAGGGGTCAGGCAGAAAGTGGCTACAAGAGAGGTGTTTGGGATGTGCAGAATGGGTAATATGCAAAACAACCCTTTCACATAAAGGTGTTTGCTACTAGCAAGGCAAGCACGGAAGTGGAGGACAAAAATGAAAATGATACTGACAGGAGAGGATAAGGGTATGTTGATCTAAATAGAGGGCAGGTACTCTTATGTACTTGGGCAAAAAGTGTTCACAAAATTAATCTGATTTGGTGCACTGATACTGGCAGTACTGATGTTTCCTTATGAGCTTATAACCCCAGCAGAACAACTGCTGAAAGAATAATGACAAGGGACCAAAGAAATGATGAGTTCTGCCACAGAGGTGCCTGGGATACATCCCAGGAGCTGGCACAAGGACTGATGGATAAAATAAGAGTCCCTGATCATCTGTTGAATTAGTGGCTTATTTTCTGGCTTGCTTATTGTGAGGTGCAAAGTTTCCCAAGGAATTCATAATGGACAAGTATGCTAGCTCTTTTGTTTAAAAATCATTTTTTAAAAATGTACTTTGACTTTCAGGCACAAATATTCATTCCCTATTCCATCAGTGGACTTATATGCATGCAGCCCTGGTAAGTTTTACTAAGTCATATCACTAATAGAGAGTCACACAGCCTTGCTAGGACTCACAAAAAAGTTTTAAGCTACACTGAATGTTTAGACATACATGTTTTATCTAACAGTATTAGCATCAAGTGGCACTAGTTCTCTGGAAAGTGCCTAGGCTCAGATAACAAGAAGGTATTTTTATTTCCCAACCTTAAGAGATATATTCCAGACTGCAAAGAAGTTCCTTAGCGTTCTTGTGTGTGCAAGTAGTAAAACATGATTAAATTGTTTAAGTTTCATCAAGAGCTTAAATTACTTGCAAGATCTGTCATTAGTGGGTTATATCACCCAGTCATGAGCCATGAGTTCAGATACTTATGAGATGAAAACTCTGCAAAGCTGAATTTGAAAACCAAGAACCACAGCAGCATTGTGTCTTAAATAAAAAGGAATCTAAGACTTCTTTTGGCTTTCAATTGCCCAATTATGTCCATGACAACAGTATGAATATCTTATGCTCTAATGTCACAGAAACGCATTCATTTACATCCTTGTGTATGAAATGTTCATTAAAGGATTACCATCAAAAGAGGGCTATCGTAATTCAGAAGGGGAGCTGTTTCCTGGGACAAACAGTCCCAAGACAAATAAATGGAAGGTTTTGTTTGTATTACACAGAGCTTGGTTTTATTTGGGCTTTGGCAAGGGCATGTAGGGTGTGTGTGTGTGTGTGTGCATGTTACAAAATTCTGAGCTCAAACAGTGGGAGAACAAACAAAAGAATTATAAAAAGGCAGAACAGAGAGGAATGTTTGTGTGAAGAAATTTGTAAGCAAGCTGGTTGTAAATAGTAAAGCATACATAACAGTAGAATTAAGAAACAGTCAAAAAGACAGCAGTCCTAGGATAATTAATTTTTATTATAAATTTAGAATGTTTTACCAATGAAAAAGAATCACAATGGAGTACCAAGAAAGCTCATGTATCAAAAGTTTAGCAGCATTTCAACAGTCCTAGCTCCCAGCATTTTGTAAGCACTGCTTTCTCAAACCACCTCCAGGAAACCCAACCAGAGCACCACCACAATAATAATTATTCAAATGCCAAGAAGCAATTTTTTGGGAAATACTCCTGCACAAAGGAAACAAACAGGAGCTATACAATAGCAAAATTTCGATATGACTTGTGCAAGAGAACTTACTAGAAGTCTGTGCTCAAGGTTTCCATGGCAACAGAAACTGGATTCCACCAGGTATCTGCCAGGCTCTTTATATAACAAGGGAAACACTTTATCAGGTGGATAGCCAAAGAATTACAGAAAATTGAAGTTCTAAGGCCAAAAACCATTAGGCCTGTTCAGTAGCATGGTACATTCAGCTTATAAAGTACACGGGACTGGCAGACTAGGATGCCTCTTCATAAAGAGGTAAAAGGTCTCTCTGTAATAATTTTAGCAACGCAGAAGCTACTGCATTCTTTCCAATCAGCCATCCTTGGTAGCATCCTACATCCCAAGTGACACTGTTAAGAGCTCATGCTGCAGCTCCTTCCCATGTCAGCACTGAACTACAGCAATGTTCACCTTAAAAGCAGAAGTCTGGATTCTTTGACATGGCCTCAGACTTATTATATAATATTACTGAGTCACAGGATTAAGGAAAGAGCCATGCTTCAGCAGCTATCAACCTGCTCAAGTTTGGTATCAGTAGTGGCTCTTATTTTTGTTCCTCCTTTAAACAGTTATTTGTATGACAATTTTAAACAGCCAGTTCAAACATTTTGACTACTAATTAAAAACCCAAACTAGCCTAACTTGACCCCTGTTGCCACCACCAATATGCAGTGTATCATTCTTCAGTTGACATTGTATAGTTGAGACTTACTGGAGGCAACAGAAGCAAAGCAAAACAGCCTCAATCCTCACCTTCTCCTGAACTTGCTAATAGATGGATGTTGTGCAAGTAGAACTGGAATCATATAGGATGATGGGCACTTGTTTGAAGAAATCTGAGGTGTGACACATATGGAAACTAGGTTTATCTATATGGATAACATTCGATAAATAGACTGTAACAGTATGACACTTTGCTAGTTACAGTAAAACTGAAATCTATGTCGGTGGCCAATGCATAGAAAATAACTTTTATTGGAAAGTTATTTGGGGAGGAGAGAAAAAGTGCACACATGCACACACACACACACACACACACACAGATAAACAATATAATACTGACAAGCTATTCCCATTCTTTGGTACTTTCTAAACATTCTTATCCAAAATATACAGGGAAATACACTGTTAAAAAGCTACATTTTTGTAAGTATTTATAAAATCAATGTCCATACAGTATTATAAGCAACAATATGATATGAATCATGTTTTTCCCACTGTACTCTGCAGTGCTTTGTTCTAGTATCATTAAACATAATATTTTTTAAAAGTATCATAACCATTTTGCACTTTGCTTCATTATATATGAAATTGACAAACATCCCAGCTTCTCTAAAAGATTAAAAATGCCACTAAATGATACATTATGTACAAGTTTTACTAGAGATTCACTTCCAGGCAATTATTTTCATGTTACTTATAATTTACGGTAGTGTTATCTACTATAAGCATATATATATATTTCTTTAATACATAAGAAAACGGCACCAAAGTGTTAAAATTAACCAGTGACACTGATGATATACAGTAGATGTTAGATACTGAAGATAAAGCCTCGCTGATTAGCTCTTACAGTATGGTTTGAACAGGGAGTGTTGTACTATGAGGGAGAAATCTTGCCGTTTTATTTCAAAGAGAGACTCCCTTGTTTCCTGGAAGGAACACCAGATCAGACATATGGCAGGATACCATACATTAAGACTGCCATAACAGCAGCACTGAATAAGCCAGCTACAGGAACAGTCACAAACCAGGCTAGAAAGATATTGCGAAAGAGATGCCAGTCAACAGCCTTCTTGGAGCGGATCCAGCCAACTGCTACCACAGAACCAACCTTGGAAGTTTGAGGAAAAAAAGTTAGAATTAAATGCTTCTTAACAAGAGTAATGCTTATGACCAGGAGTCCATAAATTTTGCTTGCCTTTAGTAGTCAGCCATTATTTCAGGTAATCCTCTATCTTCCCCTGCCCAATTAGCTCTCCGGCACATGCAGATGATTCAGTGGAAAGGGCTTGGTCAGTCTCCACATCAGTGTTTGAAAGCACTCAAAAATAGCACATGTCACCAAAGCCTGGCATGAAACAAGGCTGATCACTTCAGTGACTTATGCCATACTGAGTTATATGAATTTCTGTGTGGTATAAAATGTAATGTCCCAGCTTCCAGTTTTCTTTGACAATAAAGCCTCTCACTTTCTACTGGACACCCAATGGATACTAGAAGATTGACACCAGCTACTGGCAACCTAGCAAAGACATTTGTGGACTCCTGTCTATGACAAAACCAATGCTAGTCAGCTGATGCCCAGAATTACACAACTTCTGATTACTGCTAACTATTGAAATCTGAATTCCTGCTTCATTTTCACACAGGTGAGGAACCATTTGTGAAGGAGTAGGAGGACTGTATCTATTTGGAATTTAGGAAGTGCCTTGCAACATTTAGATTCTATGGCAGTAGTTTTTTCTAGCTTTGACTGATATTTCTCTGTAGTTAAAGACCTTATACCAGTTGCAGTAAACAATGCTTTCTGCAAGTAAGGGTATCAAGTAAAACATTCTGTCCTTTGAATGCATCTGTAAATGGAAGTGCCAAGCATCTCTCGGACAAAATGTAGTAAATGGGTGGCAGAGCTAGATTCCGAAAGTGAAGAACAGTTTTTTGGAATTTTGAATCAAGATTCACTTAGGTACAAAGCCTATGCAGCACTCATACCCTTGCAAGAGTAAGATTATTTTTAGAAGCTAGAAAGCTCATCATTGGTACTCTTCTTGTATTACCTCAGATGTGCCAGAAAGGCTAGTTTATAAAAGTGTTTCCTGTTCTGATCATTGCCAACTTAGGAATTGCCTGAAGTTATCACTGGATGAGGGCAAATAACAACACCAATAACCACTTATCTTTTCCAGTCCTAAATGCTCAGCTCCATATTTGATTATGATTAATCCTACATGAGAACTAACCATTCCCATGTGCTTAACCTAATTTCTCTCTTAAGTGCCATTAAGACTGCTATTCATACTACCAAGACAAAAGTGCAGTAACTTCAAGGCAGCCATCTTTCCTAAAGATAGGCTAAACAATTTCACATTCCTCTTCCTGCAAAACATTAGGAGCTAATGTAGAGCTCCTCTAAGTATCAGAGGAAGTCATTTGTGAAAGGAAGGGCACTTAATAAGAATGGTTCAAATTCTGATCCTGTCCAGAATGTTGGCTATGGTGTACTGACTAAAGTTATTGTATCAGATTCTTTATGACAGAATAATCTGAAACAACATATCTAGTCTTTTCCCCACTGTGTAATCCTGTGTGTCATACTCACATATGAAAAACTGCCTTATACCAACTCAGCTACTGGTCCATCTAGTTCAATATATCTAGTCAGGCTGGCAGCAGTTCTTCAATTTCTCAAATAGAGAGAGGGCTTTTCCAGCCCTGCAACCCAAGCCCATATTTAACTGGAAAGGTCAGAGGGCCACCTGCATACAAAACTTTTGGTTTTACTACTATACCATGACCCCTCCCCAGAAGGAACACAAAAAATTTAAACTTTCTTGTAATAATAAATGTCCACTGCCCTATTCTATTCTGGAAACACCTATTTCACATGTACAGTATGTTCTCTCTGTAGAACAGTACATTTAAAGATCAAGTCAGATAGATTCCTGAGATGTAATGTTCCAACAGACTAATTCAATCCAGTTAGCCTTAAATATTCTAGTCATAAGACCATCTCTGATCAAACCAATTCCAAAATTCATGAGTTTGACAAAAGTTATTAGAAAGCAATTACTGGCAAAAAAAATCTGTCCCTATAAATGATGTGTTTGCTTCAGTTTAAATGGGCTTTTCATTACTGCATGTACACAGGGTTTCTTAGCTCTTTTTCTACAGCCTCCATGACATCTAATTATGACTGCCTGATGATCAGCACTGCTGCCAGACAGACACTCCAGGAATCATGAGCAGGTGTTGCAAGAAGAAAAACATTCCCCACCCCCTGTGAACTCTTTGGGATCTCAGAGGGTCAGTTGTGGGATAGCATTTGAGTGTGGAACTGAGATTTGGGGACGCCAGGTTCTAGTCCTCAGCTAGCCATTCTACTCACTGGGGGACTTTAGGCCAGTCACTGACTCTCAGCCTAACAAACCTCACACTGCTGTTTTGAGGAAAAAATGGAGAGAAGATCATGTAAGCCATTGTGGGTTCCTTGCAGCAGGAAAAAAGATGGGACAGACAGTTATCTTACTAAGAGCTAACAAATATTTCTTGCAAACTTTCATACTTTAAACCAACGCATGTTGTTTGAATACCACTGACACCATCTCTTCTTGATGCAGTATGTCCCAGCCCAGGCTGTATGCAATACTGGTCCACTGAAGTGCCATTCATTTTAGTGGGTTTACTCCAAGCAGAACTAATATTGGATACAGCTCAGAGAATCCATCAACCCAGTCCAACTATTAGGCAGAAGGAGATTAGCTGCACTGGGCAGCAGATGCCGAAGGATGACAGCAACTGGCTTCTGGATACTGATTTTGTGCTTCATTGCAGGCAGTGCTTGCATACTTACTGCTGGACAAGGCAGCCAAGGCAGTCAGTTGCCTTTTCCCCAACACACCGAAGATGCTGGCTTTGAGAAAGACCCTTGACTGAGCTAACAACCAGAAGCAATTGGCCAATGCCCTCGAACTGAATGTGCCTCAAGCTGCTCACTTGACACAGATTGGTACTGGTGCTGCAACACTTGTTTAAGCAAACAGGTGCTACGCAGAACAAGGTGCTGGGAGGAAAACACTGTGTTTGCCATGCATCTTGCCCTGCATTCCTCCCCTGGGAGTCTGCTGCCCTCAGGTGCAGTAAAAGACATTGTCCTATTGTCAGTGTTGATATGAGGCTCAACTAGTGGCAGGCTTGCTATCTTGTACTTTGCCTCAGGTTCTGTATCCCTACTGTTTGCTTCTGTGCTCTGCTTTTTCTGCTCCCTGAAATGCATGCCGTAACTTTCTCATTTCTGAGCACTCCTTACATGGACTTTGGACAGCATATGCCATTCTTTTTCATACCAGAAAATGGTAGTTGCTTGACTGATAAAGTATCAAAAAAACCGTCCAAGCTATAATCTTTTGTCATTTTCTTTAAAAAGAGAATATGATATATTCATACATTTATCAGCTTGCAAATATTTGTTCCTGCTTTCTCCGAACATTCTGCCTCATTAACTGCTCTGAAATTTCCTTACATTTTTCCAACTGGTGGGTTATACCACTAGTATCACTACTTTGTCATTTGGGATTATTGTTGTTTCTGAGAGGGGAAACTAGGAAACGAATCTGAGAAAGGGGAAAATTGAGATATAGCAAATAAATACGTAAATAAATAATGTGGGTCCCATGCTATAAGTGAAGTTAAAACTAAGTTTCAGGTGTGAAAAGGATGAGGAATGCTGCTTTAAATTGAACACAAACGCACTATAATTTTATTTAAAATTGATTTTAAAAATTATTCATTTAAAAAGATACAACTTATACTGTGTTATATTTAATAAATTTTCCCAGTTTAAAAAGGGCATCAGTGAAACTGGCTTTGGTAGTCCCATTTCTAAACATTATCTAAGTTTAGCATACTAAGTTTTGAGGAAAATACAGGTTAGAAAAGCAATTTGATTTGTTGTTAAAAAGCTAGAACAATTTGTTTTCAAGTTGTTTTTCAACTGACTCAAAACTAAATACCATTTGCCTTCAGACTCTGAGATACAGAACCAAGCATTCTTGTGACATTTACAGAAGTGTATCTGTGGTGCTCGCTAAAATTCTGCATGCCATAATCTACTAGTGTTCTATATGACAAACTGTGCAAATCTGTTGGGGGAAAATTAAATGTCTAAAACTGTTAGTGCAAAGCTAGCACAAAGAAATTTAATGCATATAAGCAAGAATACTAAATTTTAAAATGATTGTCACTTGTTAATAAACTACAACATGAATACTACAATTATAAATAGTAGTTAGAATAATAAGCTACCCATCCTAATAATCATTAAAAAATAAAATAGCATCTTAACGCTTGGGGAAAGTAGTCAGATTTTTCAAAGTAATTTTGAAAGTAATTCAGAATGCTGTATTTTGAGTTTTTTTTTTTAAATTAAAGTAACAGCTTGATAAACTGAAGGCAAAATGGGGAAATCATTACTTATGATTGGTCCCTTTCTGTTCTTAAAATACTGTGTGTTTAATTGGCACGACCACTGCAAACTCCAATACCTTGCAATGAGTGGAGCTTATTGGAATACCCACATTTGAGGCTACAAGTACGGTTAGCGCACACATTACTTCAATGCAAAATCCACTGTGAAGAAATAAAAAAATACAGATGGAGATTTTGTAATGTAACAGTGACACATAGGAAGTCCCATGCCATGCATTCACCAGGAAAGTGAAAAGGATGAAGGATGAAAAGTGTCAGAACCTCTGGACAGAGAAGGGTGCAGCAGATCAAAGTTCATGTGGCATGACCTGAGGAAACCTTACTGCTACCCAGAACAGGTAAGGTATGACTGCAGATTCTGGGGTGGCACTCAAGCACAACATAATATGGATGGTTTCTGTTTTATAGTTTTACCCAAATAGGCAAGTGCCATTTAGATTTCTGGTTACTGCATGAGTAAACCCTGTTTACCTGAGTGGTATTATATGGTCTACGGCCATTCAGTAGTCTCTTGTGAAGTTGTATAACTATGTAGGAAATGGCATATTTGCAGATTCACTGAAAAGTAGTGGAAATGAATGTGAATGTACACTTGATTCTGAAAAATCTCACATAGGTAATGAAAGAAAATCAATCTTCAATTATACAATATATGGAAAATGAGATATTTTAAAGGAAACCAAAGACCTGCCCATTCATATACTTTATAAATGGGGCGGGGGGGGGAGTTCCTGCATATACACACCCATTTTACATTTCCCTATTGTGGTATCATGCCACTATAAACTGATCTGAGCAGCAGAGTTAAAAAAAAAAAAAAAGAACAGTCCAGACCAGCCTGGCTGCAGTCACATGGCAAAGCATACCTTGCAATGTGTAGTACTGACAGGAAGTCCAACATTGGAAGCTACCACAACTGTGAACGCCGAAGCCAACTCAATAGTGAATCCACTGCAGGAAGCATAAGAAAACACTTCACAGTCACTCTTTTCTTTAAATTTAATCTATCAGTCTGGGCTGACACCATGCAACATGCCAAAGTCTTACCAGCATCTTCTCCAACAGTTTCTCTCCAACTGATTTTTGGTCATTTGAGTGACAGAATGATATTAAGAGAACAAGGAGTTGCTGAGTAACAGAAACTGCACATGTATATGCATTAAATTAGCTGAGTGGCTCATAGCTACTGGCAATCTATTCTACATTCCAAGAAATCATGCTTAATTAGTAATTAGGTTAGCAGCAGAGGTCTAGTATTCATTAAAAGCAAATAAAAATCATAGATACATTTTAGTTGCTGAAAAGCTTATGGAAAACTATTTTGTTTTTTGCCATTTGCTTATTTATGTCTCTCTGTGCTATTCAAGACATTGGCAGACTATTCCATTCAGCTAGACCTCCACAGTTCAAACACATCATATTGGTTTAAGGAGGAGGTAACACAAATCACAATTCAAATCAAAAGCAGGAAAAATTAACCACACACATACAATGGCAGAATTTCTCAAAACACAGCATTAGATGATTTCAAGGTAACTACATCCAGTAAACATGCAATACCTTGAAGGTGTGATGGGTGTGAGGTCTTTTCCCATTGTCTGGATCACTCTTCGGCCCCAGACCCAGAGGCCCACACAGATGCCAATACCTCCATACAGTAGCAGCCAAACAGGAGTAGGAGCTTCTTGCATTACGGCACCTTGATCATATATCAGCCAGAGGGCCACCAAAGGGCCAATAGCATTGCTGGAAAACCAGATAAAACATTGTAAATGTGTCACTTGATTATTTCCTGATCTTACTGACCCATATAAAAGCAAGCTTATAAAAATACTCTTTCCCACAAAAGTATAGCCTCATGTAATCTCTTCAATTTGATTTTTCTTATGTTGCTTGTATTTAAATATACATCCTGCCTTTCTATATATAGCACCTATGCTTTTCAGACATGCTTTTGCTCCCTATTAGGAATAGCAGAATAAATTTGCATAAAACCTGAGCAAATAAATGATAGCACACAGGGGCTGATGTAGTTAAACTAGTAATCAATAATCAAACTAATCAATAATCAAATAATCAAACACAGATTTGTTCACAATCAATTTTGTAGATACTTCTGTCAGGATTAGACAGACTGGTTAGAATGTTAAGTTGGTCTGGGAGCACAACGTAAAGCCCTAAATGACCTTAGCCCCATTTACTCCAGATAATGCCTTTTACCTTACTGAACATTCAAACACAAAGAACTGCAGGGAAAAGGCAGGTTGCTCACCTGTAACTGTCGTTCTTCGAGTGGCCATCTGTGCATTCACACATATGGGTGCTGCGCCTGCGCAGTGCCTATGGCTGGAAAGATTCAAAAGCTTAACGGTTTTGGAGGGAACTCCGCACCCCTCCCCCCATGGTATAAAAGGGCGGAGTTCCTGCTATTTCCTCAGTCCACTGGAGACCGATCGTTAGCCCCCTCGCAGGAGCGAGAGACATTGCAGGAAACCTGCTGAACCATATAGAAAGAAAGCACTAACGGGACCGGTATCAAGAAAGAAACGGTACCATATAAAACCATTCACCGACACTGAGCGGGGCTGGCGGGTGGGTTGTGTGAATGCACAGATGGCCACTCGAAGAACGACAGTTACAGGTGAGCAACCTGCCTTTCTTTGTCATGGCCTCTGTGCATCACACATATGGGTGATTAGCAAGCTTACGAGACCTGGAGGCGGGCGGTGTCATCATTGAAGGAAGAAGAAAGGACTGCCTGACCAAAGGAGCAGTCATGTCTGGAACGCACATCAAGGCGGTAATGCCTGGCAAAGGTGTAAGGAGTAGTCCACGTGGCAGCCTTGTAATGTCCTGGATCAAAATCCTAGCGGCAAAAGCAGAGGAGGCAGCTACCGCCCTTGTGGAATGCCCTCTGGGCATGACAGGTAAGTCAAGCTTGGCAAGCTGATATGCTAGCTCGATGGTCTGTATGATTCACTTTGAAAGTAGCGGGCGTAGGGAAAAAGGCCGGTAAGACAATGTCTTGGTTAATATGGAAAGGAGACACAACCTTGGGTAAGAAGGCCGGATCTGATCTACCGGATCAGTAGAACGACTTTCTCCTTATGAAAGTTCAGGTAAGGAAGATCTATCCTAAGTGCGCAGAGTTCACTATCCCTTCTGGCAGATGTCACCGTGATGAGAAAGGCAGTCTTCGAAGACAAGAGGCGCAAGTCAGTAGTTGCCAGGGGCTCGAAAGGAGCTCGGGTGAGTGCCTGGAGAAAAATCGAGAGGCTCTAGGTAGAATAACTGGACGAAGTGGTGGTTGAAGGTTCTGTAAACCCTTGAGGAATCTATGTATGAGGATATGAGAAGAAATCGAAGAAGCAGTAAAACTGTTGGGTTCAGTAAAGAACATGAAGCATTTCCATTTGGCCTCATAAGACCGACGAGTTGCAGGTCTTAGGGCAGACTGGAGAATAAATTGAATATCGGGATCAAGAGTGCTTGGATTCGATGCGAAGTCTATCGGGATCGAAGAAATGGAAGCTGTATCTGAGTAGTGACGGACAAGTGGAAGAGTCCCTGAATCCGCCAGTACCAAATGGACCCTGTGGTTCATCAAATGAGCCAGGTAGTTAGACTGAGTGAGGCAAGATCTGGGTGACAAACAGTTCGGTCCTGTTGAGTTATTAGATGAGGTATGAGGGGCAGGTAGAGAAAGGCGCTGCAGGATAGGTAGAAAAGAGTAGAAAACAATGGTTGATGGGGCAACCAGGGGGTGATCAGGATTCCTGTGGCACCGACGTAGACGATCTTGGCTAGGACCAAGGGATCATGTCAATCCCGGGCTGATGCCGGCATGGAAGCAGAACATCCTGCACACCTTGTATGTGTGGGTGGTGAACAGGTCTATGTCTGGAGGGCCCAAGGTCTGAAAGAGGCAATGGCAGGTCGGACGATCCAGTTCCCATTTATGAGTCCTCAACATCTGCCTGCTGAGGGCGTTGGTCTCCTTGTTGTCAGTACTGGTCAGGTGAACCACGAGGAGGATTATCTCCCTGGGGATGCACCAGTTCCACAGTTGCATCACCAGGTGGGGCAGGGGGGTGGACTACGTCCCGCCTTGTTTGTTTATATAGAATACAGCGACAATGTTGTCGGAGGCAACTTGCACAACGTGTTGCTGGAGAGTGTCCTCGAATGATTGAAGGGCTTTCAAGACCACCAGGAGTTCGAGGTAATTGATGTGTCTGGTGGACTCCTGGTGATCCCAGGTGCCCTGTGTACAGAGGCCGGCACATAGGGCTCCCCACCAGGTAAGGGAAGCATCGGTAAACAGAGTCAGGGTCGGGTGAGGTGACGAAACGGGATGCCTACGGCCAGATTATGGCGCATAGTCCACCATGATAGAGTCCGGAGATTGGGGGTCAGAAGGCAGAGGAGACAGTGAGGCTTGTCTCGCTGGGGCTGAAATAGTCCGTTGCACCACAACTGGAGTGGTCTCATCCGTAGCCTGGCGTGGGAAACTGTAGCAACTGTAGAGGCCATGTGGCCAAAAATTTTCTGCATCGAGAGTGCTGGAACAGCTGTGTCCATGTGGATTCGATAGATCGATGAGCATAGATTGTCTTGCCGACTCTGTGGGAGCAAAGCTCTCAGCAGTGTGGAATTGAGACGGGCTGCAATTAAGTTGATGACCTGGAAGGGAACAAGGCACAACTTCTCATGGTTAATGCATAGTCCCAACTTGTCCAAGAGGGTACAAGTAGTTTGAAGTGCTGACTGAAGGCCTTCCTTAGATGGGGAGATGATCAGCCAGTCATCCAGGTAGGGGTATACTTGAATTCCTTGGCGCCGAAGGTGCGCGCACACCAGGGCCACACATTTCGTAATAACCTGGAGGGCAGTAGCCAATCCAAATGGCAAGACATTGTACTCAAACAGGTCAGAACCGACTGTGAACCGAAGAAGACGCCCGTGAGACAGGTGAATGGTAATGTGAAAAACAGACATCTTTCAAGTCCAGAGGAGCGAACCAATCCTCTCTCCTAAGCAACAGAAGGATATTTTGGAGGGTAGTCATCTGAAAATGTGATATTGATGAACCTATTGATGCCATGTAGGTCCAGAATTGGATGAAGACCACCATCACGCTTATGGATAGTGAAATATGTTGAGTAGAATCCGTGGAGCCCCTAGGAGTGTGCAAGCTGTTGAATCACTACTTTACGAAGAAGTTGCTGGACTTCGTCAATGAGAACCGGTAAGTAAGGCGTAAATTGGATTGGTCCCGGCGGGGGCACGGTATCGAACTCAATTCTGTATCCATGCTGTATGATGGATAAAACCCACTGATCAAGTGTGATGGACTTCCAGATGGGGAGTCGACTTTGCAGCCAATCTCCAAAGGAAAGAGGGGAAGGTGGGTTGAGGAGGAGAGGAGAGGTTCGCCCGTCCCGTCAACGTTGACATTTGTCGGAATCAGGACGACGATGGTTCTGTTGGAAGCACTGTTGTTGTTGCTTCCGACGCTGTTGCAGGGGACGGAACTGCTGACGGCCTGTAAATCACGAGTACGGCTGGTATCTGTAGGATGGGTGAGACCAAGACCACTTACGGCGCGATTGATTCGGAACGTCCATACGGTGAGCTATAACACTTGACTCATGGATAGTCTTCATCTTGTGATCCGTCCGCACGTTGAAGAACCCTGAACTGTCGAAGAGCATCTCTTCAATCCGGCATTTTGTCTCATCTGGAAAGTTGCAGTTCTAGAGCCAGGCATGATGAGGGAGGGCTACGGCACCAACAAGAGCTCTAGAGTTGGAATCGACATGGTGTCTTGCCATGGAAAGCTGCTGGACTGCCACCTGCATAGCCTCTTTAATGAAGATTCTAGCCAGGTTTTTCTGCTGGTCTTGAAGAGAAGCCGTAATATTCTCTAACTTCTGCATAATAAAGTATTGGTATTGAGCCAGTGTGGCCTCATAATTGGAAATACGGAGGCCAAGTCTTGCAGCAGCATAGATATGGCGAGCCAACATGTCGATCTTGTGGCCCTCTTTTTCGCGGGGGGTAGTGTGTCCCCTCGACTCATGTCCTTGGGATGACCCAACAACTATCGAGTTGTGTCTCGGATGATGGAGGAGGAATGGAATATCCTGATTACAGACTCGATACATGGCCTCGTATCGTTGCAAAGTGGATTGAGGCTGATTAGGATAGTTCCACGGTTCCATCATTGCCTGGCCAAGAGTGGTAATAAGTGGCAAAAAGATGGCGGCCGACTGTTCACCTTTGACAATGTTGTAAAAATTTGTCGGTATTGGGATCACAGTGATGCTGGGCCTCGATCTCAAGTGATCTTGTAAGCCTTGCCATCAGTTCCCCAAAGATTACATAGGGTTCCTCCGGTGGGCTGGGACCCTGTGTAGATATTTATTTTTTTATTATTTTCTTTTTTAGATTTATATTCTGTCTTTTTCCTACAAAGGGCTCAAGGAAGCTTACATCATTCTCCTCCTCCATCTTATCCCCACAACAACAACCCTGTGAGGTAGCTTGGGCTGAGAGTCTGTGACTGGCCCAAAGTCACCCAGTTGGCTCCATCATCATCATCATCATCATCATCATCATCATCATCATCATCATCATCATTATTATTATAACATTTCTATGCCGCCCCTTGCCGAAGCCTCGGGGTGACTTACAACACAATAAGATACATTGAAATACAATAGAACATAATAAATTACCAATAAATACAAAAATACAAAAAATACACTGAGATACAATAATATAAAATTAAAATTAACAGTATAAAATAAGTAAATAAAGAATATAGGAGGAGGAAAGAGAAGGAAGAAGTTGCCCTGGCCAGATCATATATTTTAACAATTAAAATGATGTTTAAATAAAAAGGTCTTTACCTGGCGCCGAAAAACCAGTAATGGCGGTCGGGCATATATGGACGTAAGCGCTCATTCAGGTAGCCAGGACCCAAGCCGTTTAGGGCTTTATAGGTCATAACCAACACCTTGAATTGGGCCCGGGCTTCAATGGGAAGCCAGTGAAGCTGACGGAGGACTGGAGTCATATGAGCATAACGCCCCGTCCCCGTCAGCAACCTGGCAGCTCTATTTTGCACCAATTGAAGTGTTCGGACCGTCTTCAGGGGAAGCCCCACGTAAAGCGCGTTACAGAAGTCTAGGCGGGAAGTCACCAGCGCGTGTGTCACTGTCGCCAGGCAGTCGTACTCCAGGTAGGGGCGCAGCTGATTAATCAGCCGAAGCTG